TAGGAGTTTTATAGTTTCAGGTTTTACATTTAAGTCTTTAATTTTACTTGATTTAATTTTTTATATGGTGAGAGGTGATTTCATTTTTTGCATATGGATATCCAGTTTTCTCTGCACCATTTATTGAGGAGATAGTCCTTTCTCCCAGTGTATGTTCTTGGCAACTTTGCTGAAAGCAAGTTGGCTGTAACTGTGGATTTATTTCTGGGTTCTATTCTGCTCCATTGGTCTTTGTGTCTGTTTTTTTATGCCGGTACTATACTTTTTTGGTTACTAAAGCTTTGTAGTATATTTTAAACGTTGATAGTGTGATGAGTCAAGCTTTGTCCTTTTTAATCAGGATGTTTTTGGTTATTGTGGGTATTCTGTGGTTCCATAAGAATATTAGAGTTGTTATTTTGTATTTTTGTAAAAAATGTCATTGGTATTTTGATAGGGAATACATTGAATCTGTAGAGCACGTTGAGTAGTATGGACATTTTAATGCTTTTAAAATATATATATTTATAGAGACACGGTCTTGGTAATGTTGCCCAGGTTTGATTCAAACTCCTGGACTCAAACAGTTCTCCCGCTTCAGCTTCCCAAAGTGCTGGGATGACATGTGTGAGCCACCATGCTCCGCCCATTTTAACACTTTTAACTCTTCCAGTCCATGAACATGAGAGAATGTTCCGGTGCTCCTAAGAAAAATGAGTTTTCTATAGCCATTGGATGGAATGTCCTGTAAATGTCTGTTAGGTCCACTCGGTCTGCAGGGCACTTTAACTCCAGTGTTTTTTTGTTGAATTTCTGTCTGGGTAATCTGTTTACTGCGGAAAATTGTGTCTTGAGGTTTTCTACTATTATTATATTGCAGTTACTCTCTCCCCTTAGGTCTACTAATTTGTTGTTTTTTTTAAGAGACAGGGTCTGGCTTTGTCACCCAGACTGGAGTGCAGTGGCATTATCATAGTACACTGCAGGCTTGAACTCCTCCTCAAGGAATCCTCCCACTTCAGCCTTCCAAGTATCTGGGACTACAGGTGCACAACCATACCCTGCTAATTTTTTTTTCTCGGCCGGGCTCGGTGGCTAAGCCTGTAATCCCAGCACTTTGGGAGGCCGAGGCAAGTGGATTGCCTGAGCCCATGGGTTCGAGACTCGCCAGGGCAACTTGGTGAGACCTCATCTCTACAGTAAAAATTAAAAAAATTAGCCGAGCGTGGTAGCACGCGCCTGTAGTTCCAGCTACTTGGAAGGCTGAGGTGGAAGGATCAGCGGAGTTCAGCAGATCAAGGCTGCGATGGCCGAGAGCGTGCCACTGCACTTCAGTCAGGGTGACAGAGTGAGATTCCAACTCAAAAAAAAAAAAATTTTTTTTTCCCCTCCCACTTCAGCCTCCCAAAGTGCTAGGATTACAGGCATGAGCCACTGTGTCTGTCCCAGGTCTGTTAATATTTTAAAAATATATTTGGGTATTGCAGAGTTAGGTGCATATGTACAGGGGGTGCCAAAAAAATGTGTGCACGTTTTAAGTAAGATATTCGCTCAAAAGGTGGCATTAATCAAATGAATGCTAGTGTCACCATGCAACAGACAGGACAAAGAAAATGGCAGAAGCATGGTTGAGCAAATGTTATACTACACATTGATACCATAATTCAATTTAACTTCGAAAAGTAATATATAGAGAACATCTCTTTAAATGTGTATACATTTTTTTGGCACCTCCTGTATTTGCAATTGTTATATCCTCTTTGCATAATGGTATTCTTTGCCTTTTTAAAATCATTCTTGACTAAAGTCTGTTTTCGTTAATAATAAATATAGGCACTCCTGGGTTTTTTGGTTTTCATTTGCATGGAATATCTTTTTCCATCTCTTCCTTTTTAGTATATGCATGCCTTTTTTGGTGAAGTAAGTTTTTTTTATAGACTGTGTAGCTGGGTCTTGTTTTTTAATCTGTTTACCACTTCATGATTTTTAATTCTAGAGTTTAATCCATTTGCATTCAGGGTTATTACTGATGAGTAAAAGTTTACTGCTGCCATTTGTTACTTATTTTCTCTTGTTTTATAGATTCTCTGTTGCTTTTTTTCTCTCTTAATGTCTAAGTGATTTAGTAGTATGTTTTGATTACATGCTGTTTATTTTTAGTGTACCTATTACGGGTATTGCTTTGTGGTTACTCTGAGGCTTGCAAAATATATATATATATATATATCTTTTAGATATAACAGGTCATTTAAAACTCATAGCACCTTAACTCTGATCCCAAATAAAAGTATCATAAAAAATAATTTACATTTTACTGCTACTACCTTTCTGTGTTTTGACTTTTTAATGTTTCAATTTATATCTTTTTATTTTGTCTATCTCTTAACCAACTGTTGTAGTTGATGTTTTTATAGTTCTGTCTTTCAGACTTCACACTTAAGATATAAATGCCTTATTTACAATATTAGAGTGTAGAACTATTTTTAACATTTCTTGTAAGACCAGTCTGGTTTTGATGGATTCACTCAGCTTTTGTTTATCTGGCAAATTCTTTCTCTCTCCTTCATGTTTGAAGGGTTAGCTTCACTGGGTACACAGTATTCTTGGTTAGGCATTTCTGTTTTTGATTTTGTTTTTCCTTTAGCACTTTGAATATAGTATCCTACTCTATTTGGCCTGCAGGATTAATGCTGAAAAATCTCTTGAAAGCTGTATTGGGGCTTTGTTGAATGTGATATGATTCCTTTGTTGCTTTGAATGTTCTTTTTTTTGACTTTGGTTTCTCTAAATTGATCATGAAGTGCATTGAGGAATTCATCTTTGGGTTAAATGTGTTTGATTACTTCTGAAAGTCCTGCACCTGGATGCTATTGTCTTGCTCTAGATTTAGGAAATTTTCAGCACTTTTTAAATATGCCTTTTGCACTGTTTTCTCTCTTGTCTCCTTGGGGAATTCCAATTATGTGAAAGTTAGTTTGCTTGATGGTGTCCCATAATTCTCATAGGCATTCTTTACTCTTTTTTATTCTTTTTGCTCCTCTGACAGTGTAATTTTATGTCTTCTATCTTCAAGCTCACTAATTCTTTCCTCTGTTTGATCAAGTCTGCCTTTGAAGCTTTCTAATGAGTTTTTTACTTCAAGTATTCTTTATTTCTAGGATTCCTATTTAGTTTTTGTTTTTAATGTTTTTATTTTTCATATTTCTTAATTTGGTCCCAGATTGTTTTTCAAAGTTCATTTAGATTTATTTCTGTTTTTGGTTTTTTTTTCCTGAGGTTCTTTCAGAGGAGTATTCTAAATTCTCTGTCAGACATTTCATTGATTTTCAGTTCTGGGTACATTGCTGGAGCTTTGATGACTTCTTTTGGTAGTATCATATTTCCTTGAGATCTCACAGTCCTTACATCTTTAAGTTGATGCCTGCATATTTGAGGAGACAGTCATCTCTTTCACTTTTTGCAGCTGTTGTTTGATAGTGACAGACTTATATTTCAAAGTATTGGAATATAAACACTGAACTGTTTTTATCCACTTGTGGGACAGACTTAAGTGAATGCCGGAACTTAAATGCTGCTCTGGAACTAAATAACTGCCCTTTTGTCATTTCCTCATCTAGGAAATACCTACAGTGAGTAACAAAGTTTAAATACTGCCCTAGAACTTTGTTGCTGCCCTTCTACTTTTCCCCAGCCTAGGAAAGACTTAAGTAGTCTCCAGGACTTAATCCAGACCTTTTCGTTGTTTCTGGGCCAGAGGAAGACTTCATGCAATCTCCTGGGCCTTGTGGAAAATCAAGCTAGGGTTTCCAGTCTTCCCTCAGATTGTGCCCTTTGCAACGCTTTAGCACTGGCTTCAATGTGGCATAACCACTGACCGAAGTGCTGAGTGGCCACCAAGATCTATGTGCCAGTCATTGCAGCACCTCATTCTTTTATCCTCAGTTCACTCCAGTGGTTCAGGCCTCCTGGCACGTCTGACAGTTCCTATGGAACAGGACTGTAATGAGCTTATTGTGATGATTCCTGGACTGGTGAGGACAGTGAATGTCCGCCTCCAAAATATCCCCATTTACCTCAGCGGTTGTGGGTCAGAGAAATTTTTAGTTAGTGGCATTATGCTGGCTTGGGGAAGGGTTCAGCACAGTCTGAAATGACTGTTTCTGTTACCTGATGTAGCCTCTCTCTATTCTATGGGCCCAATGGGTTTTTCTCCTTCTCTCTTGAGTTCTGCTGTATCTGCCATCTTGCTGATGCCACTCTACTACAACATTTTATTCAGTTATTTATACTCATTTGAAAAGCTTGCTCTGACTTCCATATGTAGACTAGCACATGCTATATACCCATATTTATTTCCTTATTTTTCTTCATAACAAAAATTAATTGGTTTTTTTAGAGACAGAGTCTTGCTCTGGAATGCAGTGGCTTACTGTAACCTCAAATTCATAGACTGAAGGGATTTTCCTACCTCAGCCTCCTGAGTAGCTAGGTGTGCACCACCACATCTGGCTGTTTTTTATTTGCTTGTTTGTTTGTTTTTGTAGAAATGAGGTCTTGCTATGTTGCCCAGGCTGGTCTTGAACTCCCAGGCTCAAACAATCCTCCAGACTTTGCCTCCCACATAGCTGAGGTTACAGGTGTGAGGCTAGTTTGCCCAGCCCCCCCCCAAATTTTTTTTTTGCAATTATTCCATACCACTTTATTATAGGTCTTGTGTTTCAAAAAATTTATAGTATAAATAAACTTTCATGTCATAAAATAACAGTACAATTTATAATAAAACTTTGAGAATGTAACATCTCATCAAAATACAATAAAATATTGTTTTAAAATATGTTAACCCTTTTGGCTTTCCTTTTATTGGAGGGCATATAAACCAAAGACACCCAAACTATGGCCGCACATTTAAACTTTAACAAAGTGGATTTGGTTTATTTTCATGTAACTCAGCCATCCTAAGGTAATACACGATTTTCCTTCCTGCGTGGTTGTCTGTAATTTGCGTTCCGTGTGACTGTGTTTGTTTCAGCACATCTTCCTTCTTCATTCTCACCTCCTTCCATCTGCAAAGTCACCTCTCTCCGAACCCCTAGAACATGTACTTGAACTCACTCAGTCGCTCCACTTCAGTTTCCGTAATCCTTGCATCCGTGTAGGGAGTAACTGCTTGAGTAACTACAAAGGTATTTCAAACACTTCAGTACAATTTGGTTAGTTATTTTCATTCAGATGCCATCACCATTCAGGAAGATTAATCACTGGAACCCACAGATCCATGTAGCGACTTGCCCGGCAAAAACAGATGAGTTGACTTCGGGCAGGATCCTTCCATTGTGACGAATGTGGATTCGTCACCAGCACGCAGTGCAGGTCCGGGGGCTGCGCGGCGCCCTCGCTGGCCACGGGGCCCGGGTCACTCTCTAGCAGCAGCAGCTCGGCCAGGCGGCCCAGGTTGCTGACGCGCAGGATGTCGATGTCGTCCTCGCAGCAGAACGCCTGGATCAGCGTGAAGTGGACCTGCAGCGCCACGTCCCTGTCGTCGTCCTCGTCGGCCGCCAGCCTTGCTGAGCACTTCCCCAGGGCGTCCCCCACCTTGTCCATCCTTTCGGTCTTCTGCTCTCCAGCCGAGGATTCCTCCAGTCATATTGCAGCTGCGGGTGGCCGGCCGGGACAGCGCGGCATGCGGCTCCCTGCACTCGCGCCCGGACGCCGCGAAGCGAGCTCCAGCCGGGGCTGTCCGGCTGCACCCACCCCGCGTGCCCGGGATCCTCCCCGCGCGCCTACCCGCTCGCGCCCCCCCCCCCCAAAAATTTTAATCTGTATCTCACATGAAAATCCAGAAAGATAAGCCTCTGTTATTTTTTTGTTTATTTGTGAAAATTAAGCCCGTTCTTATGTAGATGAAAGCTTCACTCCATTAATGAATTTTAGGCCCCTGTCTTAGAGAAATTTACAGTTTGATGACCTGATGTTTCTCTCTTTCTCATTCTTCCACCATCTGATGATGTCATCTTTTAAACTCTTAAGAAGTGAGCTATGGAGTATCCCCAGGAGTTCCACGATTATCTTTTAAAGAAACATACATGTAACTGGATGCAGTGGCTGATGCTTATAATGCTAGCGCTTTAGGAGACTAAGGCAAGAAGATAGCTTGAGCCCAGGAGTTCTAGACCAGCCAAGGCAACATAATGAGACCTCATCTCTACAGAAAATTTTAAAAATTAGCCGGGCTTATCATCTTAGCTACTCAGAAGACTGAGATGAAGAATTGCCTGAACCCAGGAGGTCAAAGCAGTGATGAGCCATCATCATGCTACATGCTACTGCCCTCCAGCATTGGTGACAGAATGAGACTCCAACTCAATACAAATAAAACAAAGATACATGAATGTGCACACACAGTGTCTTATAGTCTAGTCATACGTTATATACAGTCTTAACCAGTCATCAAAAAAATAGACCTGTCTAAAATGAATATTTTAGTATATCATCCAAAATTTTATTTTAATATTCAAAATTTAAGCTAATTACTCAAAATTTCATATTTATATGCACTTAATGCACTTATTTTAATTGATACGTTACACTTAATCAGCAATTCTTGTATTTTCCATTTACCATTCATCTGAAAGTCACCCACAAAGCAAAACTTGCCTAAAACCAATGTGATACCTGTATAGATAGAGCTTCAAGATAAGGTAGCTCATGTGCCTTCCTTTTTCCTCAAAAACTTTAACTTCTGTGTAGTCATTTTGAGATTGGTTTCTTTTTATATAACATGAAGTTATTCCCATTTTATTCAGTTATTTATACTCATTTGAAAAACTTGCTCTGACTTTCATATGTAGACTAGCACATGCTATATTCCTATATTTATTTCCTTATTTTTCTTTATAACACCTGAAATAGCTTCTATTTGTTCATTTACTAGAGTAAGAGCTTCATGAAAATAGGAATTTTGTCTTTGTTCAATGCTGTATCCCTTTTACTTAGAGTAGTGCCTAGAAATAAGGTACCTTTGGCAGTCATTAAGTTTTGTTAGAATTACTCAACAAATTAAAACTTTTAAATTTCTCTACTATATTTTTAAGTTGTGTTATTAAATGATTTTTTTGTATATTAATGTTAATGTCATTTTACAAATGATCAGGTTAGTGGGTTCTGCTTCTAAATAATAGGGTATAAACAGAAGAATTCAAGAGGTAGCCATGGTTAAAATTATGAATTTTTATAATTATTGTTGGGACATTTGGTTAAATGCTATAATTGCATGACTATGAAATCAATAGTTAGGAAAACTGAATTCAATTAAAAGTTAGACACTCTAGTATAAATCACACAGGATAAAAAATAGTGCTTATATTTTTCATAAATAATTGAGTAGTAATTATGCATCAGTGTAAAAAAATTTCCTTTTACATTTTATATATAGAGACTTCATCTCTACAGTAAATCAAAAAATTAGCCAGGTGTGGTAGCGCGCGCCTGTAGTTCCAGCTACTTGGAAGGCTGAGGCGGAAGGATTGCGAGAGCCCAGCAGGTTGAGGCTGCGGTGGCTGTGCACTCCAGTCTGGGTGACAGAGTGAGACTCCAACTCAAAAAAAAAAAAAAGAAAAGAAAATATGTAATTGTTCAGCTCCACCAATTTTCTGACCTATGATGAAATCAGTTGCATATTTGTATTGAAATAGATGAGTACACTGAAGTTATTTATGTAGTGAAAGAAATTTGTAATGCTCTTGTTCTGTTATTTATTTCCAGGCTATTTAGCAGACATGACCCACAAGCAGAAGAAGCATTAGCAAAGAGGAGGGGAAGAAACAGTCCAAATGGGAACCTCATTAGGATGCTGGTTCTTTTCTTTCTTGAAAGTGAGGTAAAAAATGTTTAACATAACTCTTAATCATTTAATTCATTGTAGTTTTTTTTTTTTTCCAAACCAAGTCTGTTTCTCATAACAAGTGTTATATAAACAAGGCTTAGTTTCTTATGAGGTTGTTTCCATGAATTGCTTGATTATGGAATCAGTACTCTTCCTTTTGTGGGAAGACGTTTTCAACATAAACTTATGTGTGCTTCAGCACTGAAAATAGATTAGGAATTGTTAAACTTTTACAATATCACAGTATTGCAATATTGCATACCTTTTTTATTGTTTTTCTTGAAATTTGTGCCTATAGCCTTTAAACTTATATTACTTAAATAGTTTTTCCAAGCTGTTAAAACCATTTATTTTACCTTGTTTGAAAATTGTTTAAAAGGGGGAAAGAAAAATATGAATACAAATGTTTAACTGATAGTTGGACAAGCCCCATAGCAGTATTTCCATGTGCTGTATTCAGTTATTACTTAAACAGTTTTGTAGTATCACTCATAATATATTATCTTTCAGAATCTATTTTTGCAAGTCATCTTTGGTTCACCCTCTAAAATGTTTTTTGACATTTTAATCTGTATTTTCTACTACTGCCATGTCATTGGGGGAATGGAAAATTAAACCTAAAGAGTCTTGAATGGATAAGCTACTTGATTTAGAAATGATTAAAGAAAGAGTTGTATAAAAAGTAAAGGAAATCTGGAAATCTAGAACCCTCAATTTTGCTTACGAAAAAGTGTTTTGGTTTGTGCCAAAATGTCAGGGGAAGAAGAGAAGCATGAACGATTCTCTGAATGCTCAAGTTTGAGAGTGATGGCGAAAACTTGGTAATACTAAGAAAGAAAGGGACAAACAGACAACCTATATGAAAACTAAAACTGGGAAAGTAAGAACTGAGTACAGTGAGTAGGGCAGAGCAGGGCAAAACGTGGTAAAGGAGTTGCTGCTGTCTTTTAGGAGTGTTAGGAATGAATGGAGAAAGAGTAAAATCAGAAACACAGCCAGCAAGAGAGTTGCCTTTGAGGAAAGAACATGTTTTACAATAGTGTTTTAAATGAGCATGCAAATTACCTGGTTATCATATTCTTAAAATGCTAGTTCCAATTCAGTAGCTCCAGAATGGGGCCTGAGATTCTGCATTTCTAACAACCTCCTAGGTGATGCTTATGCTCCTGGTCCAAGGACTATACTTTGCATAGTAATATGAAACATTGTTTTCTTAACAATGTTTTAAGCAAATGTGGATCTATTATAGTGGAAAATGCAAAATGTGAATTTTTTTAGTAAAACACTAAATACTCAGTAAATATCACGTGTATGGTCAGACCCTTTCAAATTATACATTAGCCCTCTTAGATTTTAGAGGATGGGATAAAAAATATTGTGCAACAGTCAAGTCCTTTATTATAAAAAGATAGCTTTAATAGCAACAACATTTTTAAAATTTGATAGGGATGAGACATGCAAATATTATTATAAACTGCTGAAAAATTTGCTAACTGAATTTGAAAGGAAAATGTTTTAGATCTCCAAAAGCTCAAGAACTTTCTTTTTGACTTATGAAAATGCATAAGTAGCCGGGCTCGATGGCCCAGCCTGTAATCCCGCGCCTTGGGAGGCTAAGGTGAGTGGATTGCCTGAGCCCGCAGGTTCGAGACCCGCCTGGGCAGCTTGGTGAGACCTCATCTCTACAATAAATAAAAAATTAGCCGGGCGTGGTAGCGCGTGCCTGTAGTTCCAGCTACTTGGAAGGCTGAGGCGGAAGGATCGCGGGAGCCCAGCAGGTCGAGGCTGCAGTGACCGGGATCGGCCACTGCACTCCAGTCTGGGCGACAGAGTGAGACTCCAACTAAAAAAAAAAAAGAAAATGCATAAGTAGTCAGTTTTAGGCAGTCTCATCTTTTATGTAAAGCAATATTGTGTAATGTTTATTACAGCTCTATTTTCAGATGGTATAACTATATTCCTGTGTTTACTGCTGTTTACTAAAGTGTTACAACAGCATTAAATATATTTCCCAGTTCTCCTGTATGACATTCTTGACAGCAGACAAAACAACTACAAATAGTATTTAAGGGTTTCTGGCTTGTTCCTGGTCCTTATAATGGCCTTTATGGTCTTTATGGTCTCCTGTGTTTTGCTCTTTCTGAAAATCTCTTTCTTATCCTGTTATACTTAGTGTACATTTGGAACTGAATGCTTATTGAAGCCATATTCTTATAGTATGATGAGATTCCAATTCTGTTCTACCTTGAATTCCCCTTTGTTTTACTGTCACACGTTAATTAGTAAAATTTTAATAATATACAGCATTTTCAATTGAAAATGACTTTAGAAATTATAAAGTACAATGAGACTGTCTTATAGATGAGTTAAAGATCAGTCATCTAGAGTTAACTGAACTGATTGTCTTTTTTTGTTTTACTTGGATGTAAAATGGTAACATTTTAATAATAGAAGTATAAAATGTCAGATTGACATAGGTTTACATTGCATATGAAATAATGGAGATTGAAAGAACTGTCTCAACAAGTTGGTGATTTTCTTTTCTTTTGTTACCAAAAAGTGACATTTTAAAACTATAGCCACCACCAATGGCAGTCATTGATTTCAAGTGAAGGTGACAAAATACCTTGTATTTAGATGCATGCTAAATAGTAGGATAAGTGGTACTTGAACGTGAAGAGTCCAGATTTCCCTGTAGGTGGTGTCACCACAGAATTTATTATACAAGCTGTGATGCTTTTCAGAGACAAGAATGCTATTAATAATTATTCCAAAACAACAAGAATAACCCAGAATATTTGT